GCTATTGTGGACATTGCTGCTATAAACATCGGGGTGCACGTACCCCTTTGGATCCCTACTTTTGTATCTTTGGGGTAAATACCCAGTAGTGCAATTGCTGGATCATATGGTAGCTCTATTTTCAACTTTTTGAGAAAGTTCCTAAAACTTTGACCTCTGGCTAAGACAGCACATTGTTGGTTTAGCTAGAAGGAGTCTATTGAACATATTTATTAGGGGGTGGTTATTTTTGGTATGTGGTAATGCTGAGTTTGTCACTGGGTGTTAAGATGTATTTATTTACATTTCTCCACTTTCTTTTGGAAATTCAGTGGGAAAGGGCAGGAGAAGAGGGTATGAGGAGAGCAATTGTTCCAGGTAGGCACAATCAGGGTATAGAGAGAGGCGTTGGTAGCATGAGTTTAGGTTACTTATTGGGATGAACAGGATCTATGGTATCTCTGGGGGTGATGTTCTAAATGGAGTATTACCTACTTATTCAGTTCATTAATGCTTTATGAAATATATTTTTTAATGTGTGGGGAGTTTGAAATGCAAGTAACTGTGACCACTATGCAGAGAAGATGGCATTACCAGTGAAAACTGACTTTGGGAACTTTTTAGAATATTAAAGTGGAATCGGGAGAGCCCAGAGGTCCTTTGAATCATCTTCAAAGAGAACTGAAATTTCTCCTTGTGAGTATCCTTCTGGAATTTGTGACTTGTATTAAATTTTATGTTTTCATAAAAATGTTTGTTAATATCATTGTTACTTTGTTTTGTGTTCAAGATTTATTCCAAATGTTATGAATTCAGTAGATACTCTCGGCAATTTGGACAGTATGATTTTACTGCATGGTAGTTGTCCTTATAATCACAGGGAGCATTAGTTAGTTAAGAGCTACACTTCTTCCCCCTTTACTGGAGTATTCGGTTTCTATTCATACAATGGATTCCCCTCTTTTTAGGTGGGTCAGCTGCCAATTTATTCCAAATGCATGTATAATCTGCTTATTGATAACTGGGATTTTGATTCATGCTAAGGATTAGTGAGCACGTGTTTCAAGAATTTTATGTCTCAGTGAGTTTTACTCTATTCTACAAACTGAATCTCAAGGGGGTGCCTCATTTTAATGCAGTAGAAATTTGAAATGTCCTAGCCTGGCATAGAGAACCATTTCTATCCAGTCACTGCCCTACTTACTTTTTTTTTTTAACAGCTTTATTGAGATATAAATTACATCCCATAAAATTCACTTGTTTCAAGTGCACATTTCAGTGGTTTTTAGGATACTTACAGAGTTGTACAACTGTGGCCATATATAATTTTGGAGCATTTTCAACAAAAGAAACCCGTACCTATTAGCAGTCACCTCCCAGCCCCACCAGCCCCGCGGCCACTAACCTTTGTTAATACTTTGTTGTACTTTGTTCCTTTTTATCGGTGAATAGCATTCCATTGTATAGCTATACCACGTTTCGTTCATTCACTCACCAGCTGATGGACGATTCTGTTGTTTCTACTTTTTGACTATTATGAGTAATGCTGCCATGAGCAGTCTTGTACAAGTTTTATGGGACATATGTTTTCACATCTTTTGGGTGGAATTGCTGGTCAGTGTGATAACTGTGTTTAAGCTTTTGAGGAGCTGCCAAACTATAACTGTTTTCCAAAGTGGCTGTACGATTTTACATTCCTACCAACAGTGTGTGTTCCAGTTTCTCCATATCCTTGCCAACACTTGGTATTGCCTTTTTATTATGATTATTATTAATTATTTTCACCATCCTCGTGGGGATGAAGTGGTATCTCATGGTTCTGAGTTGCATTTCCCTGATGGCTTACTGACTTTGAGCATCTTTTCATGTTTTTAGCTCCTACTTACTTCTTTAGCTTAATCTCACACCCTACTTCTACTCCCACTGAACCCCTAACCCTGGCCTGCTTATTGTACCTTGGTCCTGTCACGCTGTCACTTTGTGGTGAGTGCGTCTTGCTCTCCCTAGCATGCCCTTTCCCTCCACCCCCCACCCCCCCGGTGCTGGATGAGCTCTCTGTGACATCTTCACCTAGGATGATTGCACTGATCCCCCAGAATGGCTAATGCTACCTGTGCTTTGTGCTGCGAGAGCGCTCTACTCACACTTCCCGTCAGAGTGTTTATCAAACACAGTGATCTGTTTGCTTCTCTGTCTCCCCTCCTAGACTTGAGTGACAGGTACTCTGCCTGCAGCATCTAGCACAGTACCAAGCATTTCTAATATTTCACCTCCGATTATTATTTCCCTGTTTGTATACAACCTGGTATTTTTTTCTCAACTTTCTCTCTGGAAAGCTCCTCTTTCAGGACCCTTCCTGTGGGCTTCCATCACACTTCTCTCCTCATGTCTCTGCCCTTCTCTCTCCACACCCTGGCAGAGAGCTTGTCACTCAGTGATTTGGCTAATGCCTTTCTGAGGGAACTCCAGACTCTCTTCTTCAAGCTGATACCATTCCTCTTCCTTCCCACTTCCACCAAATTATTTCCCAGTTGAGTAGAGGGCTGTTGCCTCAAACAGTATTTCTGAAATGAAACTTGAGATCTTCTCCGGACAAGATCCTCTCAGAGAAACCACCCCTCCGCCCCATTTCTGTCTGTGGTTCCACTGTTCCTTCAATTTCCCAGGCTAGAAACCTTCTATTTTAGTTTAGTAAGAACTATTGCTACCACCACACTAACACGGAAGGATGTTTTCTCCTTCCGGGCCCTGGTTCTTGGTCACGCTGCTTCGAAGAATGAAAAGGTAGACAGACAGAGTGGTGGGCAGCAAAGCAAGGTTTATTGAGTGATAGTACAAAGCTCCCAAAGAGGGAGGGGACCCGAGAAGGTGGCCGCCAGAGTTTCTCAATCTAGGGATTTTTATGGGCTTGTTAGCCGGCTGTTTTAATCTGACTAACCCTCCCTGCACCTGTCATCCAATCAGATTTTTGTCCCCTATCTATCACATGGGAAAGAGTGGAGGGCTCCTTCCAAGGTGGTGTAAAATCCTTTTAAGGGTGGTTTCCTCTTACGGCAGGGCCCCTTGTTCCTGCCTGTCTGCCTTCCAACTATCCTTCATCATAACCACCACAACTGGAAGCTGCCATTGTGTGCCAAGCAGGTGGTGCTGGATGGATCAGTTATTTTGCTGGAGACATCAGCAGTTGCTAAGTGGAAGACCTGATTCAAATACATGTCTGTCATTCAAACGCATGCCTGTCCATCTGACTTGAAAGTCCATGTTTTGTGATAACCTCCCTTATAAATTCACAGAATCTTAGATGGCCATAATCTCTTCCAAGCTCAGTCCCCTGTACTTTTGTAAATAGCTAGGATTTTTTCTTTTATTTTTTCCACATCTCCCTTCCTCTCTCCTTCCCTTTCTAATAAACTGTTCTTTTTTTCCTTTAAGCTTTTTCTCACTGCCCATCTTAGTTAAAGCTCTTATCACCTGCCTCCTGGACCACTCTGATGGTCATTTATTGTTTCTCAACAGGGACACTATGGGCGTTTTAGGCAGAACCATTTTTTGTGCTTTGGGACCATTGTACACATTGCAAGATGCTTAGCATCCTTGGCCCCTACCAAACTAAATATTCAAAGTGCCCTTGTACCCCCAGTCATTGTGACACCAAAACTATCTGCACATTTTTCCAAAGACCCCCCCCCGGGGGTGGAAAATGATATCACCTCTATTGAGAAACATTGTACTTTCTCTTCCTTAGAATCCATCCTGGGTATTTCTAACACGAATTCTTAACAACTTGATCATGTCATGTTCCTGCCAAAAAATCAACAATGGCTGTTGTCTTTCATATGAAGTAAAAAAATCTTTTCAGGCTTTAAGATATGTCTAGCCCCTGTTCCTTCTAATCTCATTTCCCACTGTTCCATAGGTGTTTTCTCCACCACGGCTGGACCTCGCCCCACCCTCTTCATGTTATTCCTTGCTCCGTCCCTGCTGTGCAGCTCCTGGTCCCCACATTTGCGTGCAGCTGATGTTTCACACTGTGCCCTTGGCTATTCTGGTCTCCCTTTCCTTTGGTGTAGATACTGTATGTGTTGGCATATACATTTATATTATTTTTATATAAACTTCCATTCAGTTTCACGTTTTTTGTTGCCTGATTATTGCACCTGGATTATCAGTCCTTTTTAACCAAAATTCCAAGTGTCTTCAGGGCAGGTTCATTAGTCTGGAATCCTCGGTAGCACTGACGCACATGGCATCACCCTTAGAACGCCATCTTTGGTACCAGACTGCTGGGTGTGTGTCTTGGCACTGTCATAATGTGTGATCCTGAGCAAGTTACTTTACCTCTCTTGGCCTCAGTGAAATGGGGGATGATGGTAATATCTGCCTGATGGGGTTTTTGTGAGGATTAAATACCATTCTACATATAAAACACTTAGAACTGTTCCTGACATGGTTAAATGTTCAAGAAATGTTATAATGACTGGTATTATTATTAAATATATTCCTACTGATTAAACTATCTTTTTTTTGCTAAAAAATTTTTGGATTTCTTTTTTTTTTTAATCTCCCTTAGGTTTTGGCTGATGGTTTGCGGACTGGTGTAACGGAATGGCCTGAGCCTCTGGAAGTAAAATCTGCTGTTGAACTTGTGCAGGAATTTCTGAATGGTCTTTATTTTCCTAACTCATGCTCTGTATATTGTTGATTTTTCTTAGTTGAGAATTTATACTTTCTAAATTTAAAAATAAGTTGTCTTTCTAGGCTTGGTATTCTTTTTGGTTGGGAAATTTATAAAGCTGTGAGGTCTCTCATGGTCAGAGGGACAGATTTGTTCTGAATTACTAACAGTAGAGGTCTAAGTAATTTTAAGAGTAGTATTGAATTTAAATTTTATATACCACAGCTGTATTTGAGATTGTAGGAAAAGAGGGATGGAACAGAAACCTTTGAGCACCTACCATGTGCCCAACGTTGTGTGTCAGGGGCTTTCACTGTATCTCAATTCATCCCCGCACTCCCACCTGGTGGGTGTACATCATAACCTCCAGTAGAGTCAAGTAATTTGCTAAAATCCCTGGTTATACTTCTACTGTCCTCATTTACCATTTGAAAATAGGATTAGGATGGAAATAATTTAGAAAGCAGAAAAATAAAATCTAGAGTTAACAAGCTTTTCTACTTTCTAGACTTAAATAAGCTGGATGGATTTGGTGATTCTACAAAAAAAGACACAGAGGTAAGCAATTCTTGTCAGTTAGAAATGTGCACTGAAATAGCTTTTAAAATTTGGTTGAACTGCTATCCTTCATGTCCTACTATTTCAAGTGGATCTGGTATAGCTAAGGCAGCATTTTTTTTTTTTAATTTTATTATGTTAGTCACCATACATTATATCATTAGTTTTTGATGTAGTGATCCACGATCCATTGTTTTCGTATAACACCCAGTGCTCCATGCAGTACGTGCCCTCCTTAATACCCATCACTGGGCTAACCAATCCCCCCTCCCCCCTCCCCTCTAAAACCCTGTTTGTTTCTTAGAGTCCACAGTCTCTCATGGTTCATCTCCCCCTCTGATTGCTCCCCCTTCATTTTTCCCTTCCTTCTCCTGATGTCCTCCATGCTATTCCTTATGTTCCACAAATAAGTGAAACCATATGATAATTGACTTTCTCTGCTTGACTTATTTCACTTAGCATAATCTCCTCCAGTCCCATCCATGTTGATGTAAAAGTTGGGTATTCATCTTTTCTGATGGCTGAGTAATATTCCATTGTATATATGGACCACATCTTCTTTATCCATTCATCTGTTGAAGGGCATCTCGGCTCTTTCCACAGTTTGGCTATTGCGGACATTGCTGCTATGAACATTGGGGTGCATATGGCCCTTCTTTTCACTACATCTATGTCTTTGGGGTAAATACCCAGTAGTGTAATTGCTGGGTCATAGGGTAGCTCTATTTTAAATTTTTGAGGAACCTCCACACTGTTTTCCAAAGTGGCTCTACCAACTTGCGTTCCCACCAACAGTGTAAGAGGGTTCCCCTTTCTCCACTACTTCTCCAACATTTGTTGTTTCTTTCCCTGTCCATTTTTGCCATTCTAACTGGTGTAAGGTGGTATCTCAGTGTGGTTTTGATTTGGATTTCCCTGATGGCTAATGATGATGAACATTTTTTCATGTGTCTGTTAGCTAAGGCAGCATTTTAAGGGTAGTTTTTTGTTGGTCTTTAATGTCAGCACTGGTGATTGTTTTACCTAAGAACTAAGAAATGCTATTGAAGAGAACTAGTACGTACGTATTATTAATTGATCAACTGCAGAGAAACAGAAATGACCAAGTCAAGATGCTATTAGATGGTATTATTATACTAATATACTATGAGATGATATGTTAATATGCCTTTCCTGGTATCATTAAATTAAGCTAAATAGGTTGTCAGTTGATGAAACAGGAAAATGGAGACAAATGTCATTTAAGTATTTTTGCATCGAAGGAAAGTTGAATGCTTGCTTTTAGGCATCACACTTGTATAACAATTTTAGGGGTCCCATTTTTCACCGTCACTTGATTGATCTCTCCTCACGATTGAATGAAGGTGTAGAAAATTCATTCCCATCTGTGGATCCCCATTTTCTCAGACCAGCATTTGAAAGCTCACTGGCCTTGAACTATTCCTTTTCTTGCTTAATAAACTGAGTCACTCTCTGACGCTGCTTTTTCAGACAGTGAAGCATGACACTGCTGCGGTTGATCGCTCCATCGAATGTCTCTTCACAGTACGGGGGGATCTGGATTTTGCTGAGCAGCTGTGGTTCAAAATGAGTGGTAGTAGGTGTCTGTCATGACTATGAAATAAAATGTTTCCTGTCATTTGTTAGGTTTACTTTTAAGTCTTTGAAAATAATACAGGACTAGTGTACTACTAGTCTTGCGTGGAAGGCTGGTTCCTATTTTCTCAAATTCATTTCAATAATAAATTGGCACATTCTACTCAAGAATTGTACTAAGATAAGGCAATTCATAGAGTCTGTTCTTCTCTCCTGCCTTGAGTATAAGACGTAGGTGGCTTTTATATTACATTTATATGAATAAACACCTCCACCTTAGTGGCATTATAATTATTAGCAAAAGGAAAAGATATTCCTTAATATTGCACTGTGTTACTTTGTGACAGTGAGTTTACTCTCTTACTTTAGAAATGTGTTAAATCTTTTTTTTTGCCTTTAATTTCTTTCCCCTTCCCCCACCTATAAAGTACAGATACTTCTATTTATTTGTCTATCCTTAAGATGGATGATATATTTGATCTGCAAAAATACCAGAAAAGTAATGTTGGACTGACTTGTTTTCCAAGGTGTGATTTCATATCAAGACTTGGTGAAGTGTTTCACATTGATCATCCAGAGTCTACAACGTGGTGATATACAGCCATGGGTAAGTTTAATAGTGTGTGTTAGAACACGTTTTCAGCTGCACAGCATAGGCCTGGGAACAGACTGCCTGAGTTTGAATCCAGCCCTGCTATTCTCTTAGCTGCGTAAGCTTGGGCAGGTTTCTTTACGTCTCTATGCCCCAGCATCCTCATCTGTACAGTAGAGGTAGGAAAAGTACCTATGTCATAGGGTTGTTTTAGGGCTTAAAAAAAATTTTTTTTTTAAGATTTTATTTATTTATTTGAGAGAGAGAGAGCACAAGCAGGGGGAGTAGCAGAGAGAGAGGGAGAAGCAGGCTCCCTGCCGAGTAGGGAGCCCGATGTGGGGCTCTTGATTTATATCAAGACCTGAGATCAAGACCTTATATCAAGACCCTGAGATCATGACCTAAGTCGAAGGCAGACGCTTAACCCATTGAGCCACCCAGGCACCTCATTAGGGCTAAATAATTTAATTCATGTAATGCAACTAGCACCCATCTCATAATTAAGTGTTCAGTATGTGTAAGATACTAGTACTGTAGTTGTTGCTGTGAATGATCATTCTCACATACTACTGATGAGAGCACAAATTGCGATATTCTCTATGAAGCAATTGTGGATAATACATTGAGATCCTCAAAATGTATCATGCATGCTCTTTAAATCATTAGTTTTTTTCTTAGGATCCACCCTAAGCTCATACATAGGAATATGTGTCAAGATTTTATGTGTTAGAATAGTCACCAGAGCCTCGTTTATAGTAGCAAAAAGTTATGAATAACCTAAATTGCCCGTTAATGGACTAAGTAAATAATGATATGGCCTCATAATGGCATATGTGGTTGTTGCTAAAATGATGCTGACAGATGATGTGAAGTGCTTACAGTCTGCAGTAAAAAGAAAGGACTATACATTATTGCATAAAGAAAGTAACTTTTGGAGAGAAAAACCTGGGAATAAATATACCAAAACGTTAAAGCAGTTGCCTCTGGTGCTAGGGTTACAAATGAGTTTTTCCAACTGCATTCTACATTTCTACACTTCATGGATTTTCCACAATGTACTTGTGCTTTTACAATCAAGAAAAAGCTAAGTAAAAAACTAGAAACCAAAAGATTCCTCATTTCATAGGAATTCTTTGAAATAGGGTAGCTGCCAATTCATAACTCCAAAACTTAGAAACTTTCATGGGCGTGCACAGAGATCCGCTGCAAAGCGGAGGCATGTGAGTGCTGCCCCTCACTGGGCGGTGGTGGCTGTAGGCATTCTGGTTTTCTCACGCGACTTTCTGTGTTTGTGAGACGTTTGCCAGTATATCCCTGCCATGTGCAATGAGTGCAAACAACACGGAAATCATTTTTATTAAAACAAGGGAAACGCCAAAGGTTATGATGGAGCTTAGAGATGACAGACAGTGAGAAAATGTCCAGTATTTTAGGTATCTTTAAAACGAAGTGTTTAACATTTGGTACATGCGTTAGATCTGTAAGTTCACAGCCCTTCTTGATTTGCAGATGATCTAGTTAGTATGTGAGATATTGTAGCCAAGGAGTGCCTTCTGATATATGTAGAGACCAGCGAGGGTGGGAGTTGTCCCGAAGTAGCAGGTGTTCTGTGCAGAGGAAGATGCTCTGTGTTGGGAAGGATGCCCAGGAGCACTTAATGAGCTAGGAGAAAGAGAGTCCTAGTTACAAAGCTTCAGAGGACCAACTCTGTCTTCTCTTTGGTGGAATTGTATCTGGGGGTGATCAGTTGAACCTCTTCATAGTTGCTTTGGACTAAAGCAAATCATATAGGAATGACACTTCAGGAATGGGCATGTTTATAACTTTTTATTCAAACAATTTATGGTATCAGGAGACTAAAAATGCACGCTTATCATTTTTAGCTCATAGCTAATGCAGTTTGCTTCTCTTTTGTTTATTGGATTTGTTTATATTTTTATTTATGGTATATATTTTTTTTTATTATTTCTAGCTCCATAGTGGGAGTAACAGTTTACTAAGTAAGCTGATTCATCAGTCTTATCATGGAACCATGGACACAGTTGCTCTCAGTGGGACTATTCCAGTCAAGATGCTTTTGGAAATTGGTCTGGACAAACTAAAGAAAGATTATATCAGTTTTTTCATAGGTGAGTCCCTTTCCCAGCTCAAAAAATTAAAAAGCACTTCACAGTCATCAGCCGTAGGTATTCTCAGATGTTCTCTTTCTACTTGGCCCTAGTCATTTATAGCTCTGGCTTTGGCTCTGGTTCACTGGGAGATTAGCACTTCTGTTCTCTGACATTTAGTTTCCTTCTTGATAGAGATACTCGATTAAATAGAACTCTAGTTTTTGTTTGGTTGTGTTTTGAGTTCAAACATTTTGAGATCCTACAAGGTTGGTGTAGTAAATTAAAAAAAAACCTTTTTGTGGGATGCTGTTTTAATATCCAACACTTGGTTGTTTTAATAGAGGCAAGCTGTGATCATTTTAGAGTGGTATTAATATATATTTAATGTATAACATGCCAGAAAATTTGGCCATTTCTGAGGAACTATTTAGCTTGAGCATCCCTTTTATATATGAACTCTGAAAAATTTTACTTAGGTTCCTTATCAAGTAATAAACAATACCCAAAGCTTATTTGCATTTGTGTGTTTTTTCTTACTAGGTCAGGAACTTGCATCTTTGAATCATTTGGTGAGTTTGGTTTTTTATTTTAAAGTTGATTTTTCTTTTATTCATTCTACCTGTAGATACTAAATACTTATTTGTGCCAGCCGCTGTCCTAGGATCTAGGAAACAGGTAGATAAGTAGACAGATAAATAAATAACAGGTAAAGTACTCCTTATTTTCATGAATCCCCCCTAGTCATTTCATTTGCCTGTTTTTTATTTTAATATGGTTTGACTCCAAACTCTTGACACAGTGGTCCTTAAGCTTGGAGAATCTCCTTGAAGGCTTATTGAATTGCTAATTCCTGGGCCCTAGTGACTCCATAGGCCTGGGGCTCAAGAATATGTCTTTTTAAACAAGTCCTCTCCTATTTCAAATGATTCTGATGCTTTTTCCTTACGGTATTCGTTTTCTGTTACTGCAAAACATATTACAGTAGTCCCCACCTGTCCATGAGGGATTACCATGGGCAGTACTGAATCCTATGTATACTGTGTCTTTTCCTATACACACTTACCTATCCTAAAGTTTAGGCACAGTCAGAGATTAACAGCAATAACTAAAAATAGAACAATTATAATGATATACTGAAATAAAAGTTATGTGGTGTGGTTTCTGTCTTTCTCAAAATATCTTACTATGCTCACCGGTCTTGTGATGTGAGATGATGCAGTGCCAAAAGATCGAGTGAGGTGAATGACGTAGGTGTTGTGACCTAGTGTTAGACCACTATTGACCTTTCAGGAGGACTGAAACCATGGAAAGTGAAACCTTGGATAAAGGGGGGACTCCTGGAGTATAAACTTAGAAGCGTCAATGAACACAGATGTATTACATCACAGTTTCCCGGGGTTGGGCATTCGGTACATTTTACCTGGGTCGTCTGCTTAGGGTTTCACAAGGCTGAGATCAAGGTGTCATCCCCCTGCTTGACTAGGGAAAAATCTACTCCTCAGTTCTCTCATTTGTTGTTGGCAGAATTCATTTCCTTGTGGCCTGATGACCAAAGTTCCCATTTTATTCCTAGCTATTGGCCCACAGTCAGTCTCAGGTTTTAGGGGTTGCTTGTGGATGGGCAGTTTGTTTCTTCAGAGCCAACAGGATCTCTAATGCTTCACCTTCTCTTAAAAGTCTCACCTGATTAGGTAGGTCATAGTGATGACCAGGTGATAATCTCCCTTTTGATTAATTCAAAGGCAGTCATCTAGTAAACATATCATGGAAGTAACATCCCATCATATTCACAAGTTCTGGCCTCACTCAAGGGGAAGGGATTATACAAGATGTGTACATCAGGCAGTGGGAATCTTGGGGGCCGGGGCCATCATAGAATTCCACCTACCATATTTACCATGGACTATTTCCTTAGGAGCTGTTCTCAGAAATAGGATGTCTGAGCATTTTATGATGCTTGACATACATTGCCAAGTTTCTTTTTTTAAACGGTTGTACCACTTTACCAATAATAGATGAGTGGAAGCTTATCAATACACTTGATTAATTTCTTGGTACTTGTTACCTATTTTTAGAGGTGGACACTTCCGTCAACCCGGTAAAGGTATTGAAGTTAAGAATTATCTTGTGGATTTGCCAGTCATTCCATCTGGAGAGCTCGATGGGTGGTATTAGTTACCCCACTCAGGCCTCCTTGGTAAGGCAGTTCTTGGATTTGTTTAGACCAGAGAATGTAACGGTTTGCTGAGAACATTCTCAGTAACGACTTCACGTATAGTTTAGTCTGAAGAATAATATTGAAAGGTGGTAAATTTCTCCCTGGCTGCCTCCATTTTCCCCCCCGCATTGATCAAGCATCGTTGAGGTTTAGCAAGCATAGCAATCTTTGTAAAGATTGTTCTTGTTCTTTAACTCCCTATTTTGCTTATACTGTTTTTCATTCCAGGAATATTTCATTACTCCATCAGTAGATATACAAGAACAGGTGTATCGTGTTCAAAAACTCCACCATATTCTAGAAATATTAGTCAGTTGCATGCTTTTCATTAAGCCCCAACACGAGCTCCTCTTTGCTTTAACACAGTAAGTATTGCTCTCTTGTTCCCGTCACATGAACATGAATTCTCTTGTGAAATAGCTGGAACCGAAATTTGTGCAGTTTTTATTATCAGTTAGGCTGGAATCTGTACAGCGTGTCTTCACAGTAGCAGAAGGGTTCTCAATCCCTGTCGGAGGAAGGGAAAGGCTTTGGATTCAGAAGGACTCAGGTTCGACACTTGGCTCTAGCACTTTCTGACTTCCTGAGGAAGTTTCCTTTCGCTGCATCTTGTTTTCTCATCTAGAGACAGGAACTAATAACCTCATGTGTTGGTTGTTGGGGTTAAATGATGGCCTGTGTATAAGTACCCAACACCTAATAGGTGCTTTATGAGTATTTCCTTTTCTTTTCTTTCTATCCTTATACGTTGGGGCCAAACGAATCATTGCTAGATCTCCATGTGGTAATTGAATGGAACCAACTATTATTACCATACCTCTGTCAACAGCGCTGCTATAATTTTAGAGATTCTGCTGATCAGTTTGACCAGAAACAGTTTGGAACTATCCTCTTATGTGGGTTGCTGGTGTCTTACGTGTATTTGAAGCCTCACATTGGAATGAGTGAACCATCCGGGGGAAGGGCTGGCTTTTTCCCTGTGGACGAAATGTACCATGGCCTTTCCCAAAATCAGAATTTGTCTCCGTTGTACAGGGAAAAGTTTGAAATTATTGTTGTTTACAGAATCTAAAAGATTTATTTTCATTAAAGATGAATAGGGTAGGGTGCCTGGGTGGCTCATCATTAAGCGTCTGCCTTCGGCTCAGGTCATGATCCCAGGATCCTGGGATTGAGTCCCACATCGGGCTCCCTGCTCGGCGGGAAGCCTGCTTCTCCCTCTCCCGCTGCCCCTGCTTGTGTTCCTGCCCTCGCTCTCTCCCTCTGTGTTAAATAAATAAAAATCTTTAAAAAAAAAAAAAAGATGAATAGGGTAAATGAGTTAACTCTTTAATTCCCCAGAGTCTGAAAACCATGGAAGCTATATCATTGTCTCTCTTTTGCTTTTCTTTTTCTGATAACCTCTTTCTCCCCACTCATGCCTTTACTTTGGCTCAACTTAAGTATATTTTATATTTGTGAGAAATATGTCTTCTATTGATTTTTAAAAATTGGAGAAAAAAATTGAATGAGATTTCCTTTCAGAGTCAAAAGCGACCTAACTTTTGTGTTGGGGGAGGGGGCATTGTTTTGTTTGTTTACTTTTGTGGCCCTGAAATTATTCTTTTGTTGTTGTTTTGGTTAGTGGTACTGGATAAAAAGTTTCCCATATGAGCTTTAGATTACCAGAAAGCCTTTATCTCCAAGGGACATTTTTTTCCCAAAAGAGGTCCATTTTTGTTGTTGTTGTTGGTTTTTGTTTGTTTGTTTTAGATCCTGCGTAAAATATTACAAACAAAATCCTCTTGATGAGCAACACATTTTTCAGCTGCCAGTCAGACCAACTGCTGTAAAAAGCTTATATCAAAGGTCAGCAATTTAGTAATTAAATTATACTTTAAAGGGGGGTGCCTGGGTGGCCGTCTGCCTTTGGCTCGGGTCATGATCTCAGGGTCCTGGGATCAGGCCCCCATGTCTGGCTCCTCATTCAGTGGGGAGTCTGCTTCTCCCTCTCCCTCTTCTTCTGCCCCTCCCCCTACTTGTGCACATGTACTCTTTCTCTCTCTCTGTCTCTCAAATAAATAAATCTTTAAAAAAAAAATTATACTTTAAGCCTGGCTATAATTCCTGGGCAGTTTCTGTGTCCTTCCTCTGGGGATCTCATGACCAAGAGCTACTCCACCTCTGAAACCTTAATCATCTCTTTCTTGCTCTTTGACTATCATCTGATAGGAGTTCCCCCTCTTTCTTCTCCCAGACTTTCTTTTGTCTTTTCTCTTTCTATCTGTGGACCTCTAGTCTTTCATTTTTTCTCTCAATCTGTAATTCCTTCACAGTATAGGGCAGAAAATATAGCCAGAAGGGAAATGACAGATTGGGAAGGAAGTGATCAGGGTAATGATGACAAAGTCAAGGGTATGGCTGTGGGAGTGAGAGGGTTTGGGATTGGGGAGGTATGGGGACTGTGAGGCTAAGGTGACAGATTGGCCATCCACATAGACTCTGAGGTTGCCTCCAATGATGGTCTCCCTGACTCTTCCCTCTGCATGCAATGTACTTGAAATTTCTCTTCTACCCAAGCCACTCTGTTTATACCCTCCCTCAGTTTGGTTCCTTCTCGGCCAAACCTTGTCATTCCTTGAAACTGCTCTGGCAGAAGTCCCCAGTGGCCTCCTAATTGCCAAATCTGGTGGACAACTTTCTAGTAAAAGTATGTTTTAGCCCCTTGTGTCATTAGCTGGCCCACCAATTCTTTCTCCTTACAAGTAAGCACTTACAAGGTTGTTTGGCATTTAACACTATTCCTTTCTTGGACCTATCCCTTTGCTTCATTTCTGTGATGTAGCTTCTGTCTTAATTTTAACTATCTCTCTGGTGTACCTGCAAGACTGAGAGTAGATCTCTCTTCAAGTTCTTCCTCTGCCTGCTTTTCATATGGGTTTTCACCAGAACTCCACCTTCTCTCTCCTTTTCTTCTTTCTTTCCGTCTTCCCTGGCTGATTGTATTCATACTAAAGGCCTCGCTTCCTCTGTGCTAATGATGATTCATAACTCATGTCTCTAGCTCCTGAGCTTCAGGCCGTGTTTCTGGATGCCTGTTAGATGTGAATGCCCAACATCAGTGTCCCGTAGGTAGTTCGGACTCAAAACCCAAAATTTAGAATTGCAGCCTGTTCGTCTCTTCTTCTTCTGTGCCTCTCACATCAGGATTTCTCTAATGAGTGTGGAGGAAAGGAAGGAAGGGAGGGAGGGATGGAGGGAGGAAGGAAATGAAGAAATAAGGAAGGAAATAACTCGGGCTTTTTTTTTCCCCTTTGATGTTTTTTCTTTCCTTAGTGAGAAGCCACAGAAATGGCAAGTGGAAATAAGTGGTGGTCAGAAGGTGAAAACAGTTTGGCAGCTGAGTGACAGCGCACCTGTAGACCATCTGAGCTTCCACAAATCTGGTAAAGATGGTTTTTCATCTGTTCAGATAAGTTCTGCCAATAGAAGAGAAACAGAATCTTTACTAGCACATATGATAGCTCTCATGCTCAGTTTTAAAGGATTTTCCTGAACTGCAGGTGTAAAACATATTTATTCTGGAAAAAAACCCTGGAAGAGTGCTTTTTCTCATTATCCTCGATAGAGGAACTTTTATTAAAAGAGGTCAAGCAATAGGGATACAGGGAGTAAAAACAGATTATAAGGTTGGAATTCCAGCTCATTCTTTTGTGCACTCTTTCATTGATGATATTTCTGCCCTAATGTCTTCTCTGGGGGGCAGGAGGAGGGTTGATACTTCTAATGTTCGGTCAGATATGGTCCAAGTCAGTCAGAGAATGTGTGCGAGCCCCTGGCGTAATCAACTGGCTCCAAGTATTTCTCCTTCAGCAAGCACCTGTAAACTGTTATCTTCGTGTGTGTGGATTGCATGGTGCAGTCCTCTCGTTGTATAGGTCTTTTTTTTTTTTTTTTAAAGATTTTATTTATTTATTTGAGAGAGCGAGAAAGAGAGAGAGTACATGAGAGGGGGGAGGGTCAGAGGGAGAAGCAGGCTCCTCGCTGAGCAGGGAGCCCGATGCGGGACTCGATCCCGGGACTCTGGGATCATGACCTGAGCCGAAGGCAGTTGCTTAACCAACTGAGCCACCCAGGCGCCCTCGTTGTATAGGTCTTAAATGGCTGCATTTCAGATATTGCGATGATTATCCAAAATCAAATCGGATAGTTTTAAGACAGAATCTGAAAAGATTTCAAAGGCCTATGGTCAGCCACTGCTGCTGGTTGTTGAACTGCAGAACTATACAAATAGTTCTATTTTAGAGATTGATACCTTGCAAAATTATTTCCAGAAAATGTTTGTTCTTCTCCCCAGAATATTTTTTGATTCAAGCATAATGGAAACTTCTCTATTCATATGGCTGAACGGTAAAAGTCCTAAAAAAACTGAAAAATTTTCCTGAGAACCATCAGTTAAAATTTTTCTAAGTGTGATATGAAACCTGGAGGGTATAAAGCTTGAAAATCAACCATATAAAATTAGAAAAATTTCTGCATGACAAAAAAATACCAGGGGCAAAACAACAAGGAAAATTAATTTGCAGCTCATGTTCAGAAAAGGGGCTACATTGCCTAGTATATAAAGAACTCTTAAATCAGTAAGAAAAATATATTAATAACGCAATAGAAAAATGGGCCAGTAACACGAACAGTTTACTAAAAAGGAAATTCAGATGTCATCTTCAAAATAAAAGGTGCTCAGCCCCACCTATAGTAAGAGAAATGCACATTTATATTCCAGAGATACCATCTTTCACCTGCAGATTAGCAAAGATCAAAAAGTTTGGTGTATAGTACTGGCAAGGATGTGAAGAGGTGGTCAGCCTCACACATTGCTGGTTGAAGTGTAAGGCTGTACAGCTCCTGTGGAGAGCGCTATCCCCCCAAATTTAAAATACATTTTGTAGGCCAGTAGTTTTACTAGTGGGGATTTATTCCATACATAAAACCAGACATGTGGAAAAAGACCTATGAACAAGTGTGGTATTGTTTACAGTAGCAAAAGCGTGGAAAAAAATATGGAGAATGGGGCATAAGAAAAGATCTGGAAGGATACAATGAAATTGTAACCCGGAGGTGTGGCATAATGGGGGCAGGGGTTGTTCTCAGCTTTGGGTGAACATTAAAATCATTTAGGGAGCTTTTTAAAGTCTTAATACCAAGACCAAGTAAATCAGAATCTCTGGAACTGGTGCCTGGACATGAGTGATTTTTAACGTTCTCCAGGGGATTCTATTGTGCAACTAGTTTGAGAACCACCAATTTAAGCATTTTGTTTCTCTACCTGTGTTGTTTCAGGTTTGTTTTTTCTTTTTTAAAGACCTATATTTTATGATTAAAAATAAAGTTTTAAAGCTATGAACATATGTGATACATTTTTGGAAAATGCCGTTTTAAAGTAAGTTTTAGTACATAAAGATTAAACCTGTTTTATGAGGAAATTCATGCAAGATTAAACACCTTTTTCAATGATGCTGAATAAGTGAAATAGATTGAACGTAACTTCTAGAGTCTTTGATGCAGATTACTTCAAAAAAGAGTGAAACTTACTTTGGTTAGAGTTAAAACAATTTATTGATGCATTGTTCCAATGACTCCGTCTATGAAAATAAGGAATTTTTTTTTTTTTTTTTAAATAGGAATTCTTACGAAATCGTATATTTGCTTGCTTGGGAAAGCACTCATACTCCATTTTGGCTAGAACTTTTTAACCTCTTCTCCCCATCTTATGTTCTTGATGTGTTTATCTAGAAATTATTCAGTCCTCAGCCCAAAGCAAGACCCACTGGTGAAGGAGGCCCTCAGTTGTAAGCAGTATGGGCTATTCAAAGACCAACTGTGTAAATATCAAAGCCCAGTCATGATTTATTTTTGCCAAACATCATACGCATTTCAGAGGTTAGACTTTCTGCTTCATTGGACTGAGCACTTAGGTCAACTACTAGCTTTTCAAGATATCTCATGTTGTGATATTGTAGAGTAAAACATTGGGATCAAAAACCGGAACACTTGAGAAGAAATGTCATGGGGAAGAGAATAATGATTTGGAGTGAACAGGGGAGAAGATCAGTGTCCGGGAGAGTGCCACTCTCCCAGGGGGTGCTCCGCAAATGATTGTTGAGAATGGTGAGAATGTGGAAACCAAAATGTTGACCCACAAGAATGGGGACATAATCTCATCTAAATGTTAATTGTACCATTTATTTTTTAAATACAACAGTCTTCAGCAGAGGAAAAAATGCATATGTGTCTGGCCCTAAGACTAGAAATCCCAAGTAGAAATTGGTTTCTGAAACATGTGTTAAGATTGGAAAAAGAGTTTAACTACAGTGGATGAGACACAAAGATAAAGCAGTAGGTTCACAAATTAAAAATACAGGATTAAAAAAAAAATCTGCTTTGTATTTTCTTTAATCACGTTTTCAGTGCACAAAGGGTTTACTATTTAAAGGAATCGTCCCTGCTGGGTTTTGTCTCATGAATTCAAAGTAGAAGACACATGTCATTCAGATTACCTCTTGATTATTGTAACATTCAGCAGTATATACTAGAAAGGCCAGCAGGCTGGTAAGCAGTTCTGATCTCTCTTTACAGATGTTTCTGAGTTAACATTGAATGGTAGCCTGGAAGAAAGGATGTCCTTTACTAACCTGGTTACCTGCAGCCAGGTGCATTTCAAGTGAAGTCGGCTGATAGAGTCCTCTGTAAGGTAGTATGTTCGCTTTGTGTTCCCCTTTGTAATGTATTAAGTATCTTATGTTTCAGTTTTTTCTACAACAGAAATGTTGATTTAATCCATTTGGAATATGGATTATTTTTCAGTAATCATGCAAGAGGCTTACCAGATGTTATTGAGCAACGCAAGTCTTTAATTTCCTTTCTACCTTCTGTAGTCACCTTAATAGGTCAGGTTAATCCTAAAACCAGAGAAACGAAAACATTTTTTTGAGTGGTAATGTCTTTGCATTTTAAATCTGTATATGTGGTAGAGAGTTTGATTTCAAAAACATTAATGGGAGAGGAAAACCCTGAGCGAGCCTGTCGATTTGACATTGAAAGCAAAGTTCTGTTAAAAGCAATTTTACCCCAGCCCCCCGATATTTTATAGCAGCATTATCAACAATAGCCAAACTATGGAAAGAGCCCAAGTGTCCATCGACTGATGAATGGGTAAAATGAAATTTTTATTTCATTCCTATATACAATGGAATATTACTCAGCCATCAAAAAGAATGAAGTCTTGCCATTTGCAACAACATGGCTGGAACTAGAGTATATGATGCTATGTGAAAAAGTCAGTCAGAGAATATGATTTCACTCCTATGTGGAATTTAAGAGAAAAAAAAACACGGATGAGCATATGGGATGGGGGAAAATAAAGAGAGGGGAATGAACCATGAGAGACTCTTAACATTAGAGAACAAACTGAGGGTTGATGGAGGGACGTGAGTGGGGGATGGGCTAGATGGGTGATGGGCATTAAGGAGGGCACTTGTGTTGAGCACAGGGTGTTATATGTAAGTGATCAATCATTAAATTTTACTCCTGAAACCAATATTGCACTGTATGTTAATTAACTATAATTTAAATAAAAATTTAAAAAGATCAAAACACTTTTACCCCAGCCCAGTTGTAGCACTAAAGCCCCAGATGTAAATACCCTTTTTAAAATGTTTGAGATAGCCAAGAGAATTAATGCAATAGCATTTTCTACTGTCTTACTGTTTTTGTGTTTCAGAAACAGTAGAATCTGGTAATTAATAAAATGCTTCATATCATTCTTTCTTAAGCCATGTTTTGTCCCCAAATAAATAGATGTTATTTAATTTTAGCATTTTGTCATAATTAAAGAATAAAATGGACCTTCATTTTAAAAACCCTGAATATCTAGTTACAGAAAAGATATTAAATAATATTTCTTTGAGGTATTTCACTGAGGTTAATTGAATTTAGCGCAAGAACGTTTATCTCAGAAAAGTGTATGTGCTCACTTACTTGGTACCAACCTAATGCATTTTCCTAGTTGCCGGATAGAATTTAGAACCTGAAGGGATTGTTATCTGTAGATGATTGACTGTCCATTGTATGTAGGGCAGTGTTAGGATGGCAGTTATTTCCACATTAAAGTAATGTTTCTGGATAGATTTTTATTTTTATTTATTTATTTTTTCCAAAGGAAACTTTTTTTTTAAGTTTTTATTTTTTTTAAAGATTTATTTATTTGACAGAGAGAGACACAGCTAGAGAGGGAACACAAGCAGGGGAAGTGGGAGAGGGAGAAGTAGGCTCCCCGATGAGCAGGGAGCCCGACCCAGGGCTCGATCCCGGGACCCTGGAATCATGACCTGAGCCGAAGGCAGACGCCTAACAACTGAGCCACCCAGGCGCCCCTATTTTTATATATTTTTAAAAGATTTATTTATTCATTTAAGAGAGAGAGAGAGTATGAGCAGGGGGAGGGGCAGCGGGAGACAAGCAGACTTTGCGATGACCGGGGAACCTGTCACGGGACTCGATCCCAGGACTCTGGGATCATGACCTGAGCCAAAATCAAAAGAGTTGGATGCCTACCTGACTGAGCCACCCAGGCGCCTCTGGATAGTGTTTTAGAAGGAAAAAAAAATCAAGTTATCAAAACAGTTTGTGCACTACGATTCCTTTTTTGCAAAGTGAAGATAGATGCCTAACAGCAAAATATTAACATTGGCTTTGACAGGTGATTTTTATTTCATTTATGCTTACTTTTATTTTCTGATTTTTAAATCCCAGCACAAGACCAAAAAAAAAAAAATTTATCACAGAGCCTGAAAACAGAAATGTATATAAACCTTCAAAGCAGAGAAAGGAGGAAGATCCTGAAGATTCTTGATGAAAGATGAATCCACAAAATGGGTAATCCTGTCTCAGCTCTGGCTTCGCAGGAGGAGCATCAGGAGAACTGCAGAGATTAGTACACAGAGGGTGCAGACTGTAGGTACCACAATCTCTGTCACCATCTGCATGTGACTTAGCAGAGGCTCTGAAATGGGAGAGAAAACACCACAAATGAGCATGTCCTCATTTCAGCGAATATAGCCTCACCCTGAAAGATTCAACTGTATTGGGAAAAACTTGGAAAATGGTATCATCAAGCTTTGTAATTATTCTCAGTTGCTCTAAAAGAGAACATGGTGAATTAAATGTTACTAAAAAAATTATGTGAGGGCTTTATAAAATATTTCACAAAGTATGGGGTAAAGAATGCCTATATTTGGTTCTTCCATAGGTATTACAATAAAGTCTAAGTGTATGTTATACTTACCATAAATTCATATGAGGATATTAACTAACAGGCGTGTTCCAAGGTTGCTGTAATTTTCACTGGCGGGGGCGGGTTGTGAAAGAAAAATCCTGGGGAAGCATCGGTAACCTTTCAAAGGTGTTATTGTGTATCTTAAGATGTGTAAGAGTTTCCATATTGAAAGTTTGGCAATTCTTGCATGGTTAAGTAATAATCTTGAAGAGTTGAATGATAAGCCTGTTTCATGTACATGATTATAGTAGTGGACATTTATGTAATTCCCACTTCTAGGTTTTGTGCCTGCCACCCTGGCTACCATGATAAATAAAGCATGAGGCCCTGTTCCCACAGAATTCATAGACTCAGCAGTAAATTCTACATCATGTGTCTGGGTGATAAAATACAAGTTAATTTTGGTTTAAAGGAATATACATCCTTAATATTACCTGGTTATTTAGATGGGAGCAGGGCACGGTAGTGTATTGGCCTATAAAAATAGCTGAATTGGGGAAAAAAATAGCTGAATTGGTAGGATTTGTTCCATCTAGCACTTCCCACCTCTGATACCACATTAAAGATGGGTTTGTTAAAACAGGAAGTATAGGGCGCCTGGGTGGCTCAGTCGGTTAAGCGACTGCCTTCGGCTCAGGTCATGATCCCAGGGTCCTGGGATCGAGTCCTGCATCGGGCTCCCTGTTCTGCGGGGAGCCTGCTTCTCCCTCTCCCACTCCCCCTGCTTGTGTTCCCTCTCTCACTGTGTCTCTCTCTGTCAAATAAATAAATAAAATCTTTAAA